ATTTGGTGGGGTATCTGAGCTTGGGATTTTATTGGCAAGGTTTTGTCCTATAGTGGAGAAGAAATCATTGAGTCTGTTTGCTGTTTCTGTTGGTGGGAGTTGGGGTTCATCTGATTTTGCTAATTTTATTTCGCTATTTCGTGATATCTTTTTTGTTCCCAGAATTTCTGATAGGGTTTTCCAGGTCTTTTTTATATCACCTCGTAAGTTGGATAATCTGTTCTCATAATACAATTTTTTTGCCCTTCTTATCAGGTTGGTTAGGATTGACGAGTAACGTTTTGTTTGGTCTCTGGTTATGTGACCCATTCTGTACTGTTTTTCATATTGGTGTTTTGTATTTATGGATTTGAGAATGCTGGGTGTTAGCCAGGGGCTGTTCAGTCTCTTAGCTGTCATCTGTTTATTTTTTTTTTAGGGCAGTGCTTGTTATAGAGGTATTGGGTCTTTTTTAGAAAATTATTAATACATTCGTCAATATCTGTATAGATTTCTAGCTCAGTGTGCCAGTCAATGTTTGCTACTGCTGTTGTGAAGTTATTAATGGCTGCCTCATTGTGAAGTCTGAAGGTGACTTTAGTAGTGTCTTGGGGTAGTTTACCAAGAGTTGTTATGAGGAAAGTAGGGTAGTGGTCTGTGGTATTATCTAATTATGCCTGATTTTAAAGGGGATATGATGTTGGTCCAGATGTGGTCAAGTAGGGAAACACTAGTCTCTGTAACTCTTGTAGGTTTTGTTACTGTTGGTAGCAACATACAGTTACTCATTGTGTTTGTGAATTCAGTAACGTGTGGGTCCTGGTCTTGCAGGAGATTTATATTGAAGTCACCTGAGAGTAGTAAGTGATGTTTGTTCATTCGTGCATCAGTTATCATACTTCCTAGGTTTTGACTAAATTGGCTAATGTTTGACTGTGAAACTCTGTAGATGTTTATCAATGTGAGAGGTTTTTGTAGGTATTTGGATTTGAATTTGGCTATTATATATTCCCCATGTTCATCCCTTGTGCAAGTATTAGTGATACATTCTAGTTGATTTGAGTAGTATATGGCTGTGCCACCCCCTTGTTGGTCTGGCCTACAGTTGTGTATGGCTGTGTAACCAGGAATGGCACAGACATCTGTACTATCAGGCTTTAGCCAGGTTTCAGTTAGTGTAATGATGGACATATTGGCATGTAAGGAATTTAGTAATGCTATGAGGTCATCGTAATGCTTGCTTAAAGATCTGATATTGTAGTTAAAGATAGTTATGTTGTTGTTGGCACTGAGAAGTGCCTTTGATTGTTCTGCAGTGTAGTAATTACAGTAACTGTTTGATTCATTTAAGTCATTAAATAAGAGGTTGGTATCAGGATCAATGCTTGTAATCATAAGATTTGTAGTGAATATATAGTTAGAATTAACCCTTTGAGGGTTTTGGTCGTACTAGTACGTCTTACGCGTAGGGGTTTTTGACGTACTAGTACTCATAAATTCTAGCGGCCTCAAATCTAGTGGGAGAAAGCTGGTAGTCCTTCATTTGAAAGAATGGGTCTATGTGGTCAGTGTGCACAGTCTAAAAAAAATCCTGCAGCACACAGTGCATAATGAGAAAAAAAAAACTTTGACCATTTTTTTTTTAATAAATCAGCGAATTTGCAGTGTATTTTCGTATGGTATTTATTGTTGTATTCTAGTTTTCGTGGTCTCATTTTATAGAATGGAAGACATATTACAGGAATTGAGATGATTTTGACTGGTTTTACAATGAAAGGTGCCTTGAAATTGAGCTCAAAGTAGCAGAAATGTTCGATTTTTACCAAACTTCAAAAGTAAACAAATCGTGCCAAGCGTGCAATACACGTCAACTGTCGAGTCTAATATTCTTTCACAAGTGCACCAATAATATTTATACCATTTTTTACACTAATGCAGTAGTCTGCATAACAGTAAATCTTATATTTTTTGTGAAAATAAAAATTCAAAGTGGAAAGCAAAAGAATATAAGAGGGGCCTTGAGACGTGACTAATGACTAGAGGAAATCTCATTTTAGTGCCAGGAATGTCTTTCTTGTTTATTCTGGACCCTATTCGGAAATTGGCATCTTTTGAAATTTGTGTGAAATTGGCAAAATTGCTAAATTCTGACCACTGTACTGGATAGTTGAATTTCATAAATGGGTGGTTTCTTGCACCCATTCGATAGAAAAAATGGAGTTCTAGCGAAATATTCATGTTTTTTGTCGACTAGTACAGTGAAATTGGCCGAAAATGGGGCTCAAATGGGCAAAAACGCCGATGCGTAAACATCGCCGAGACCGCTAACTTTGCGAGAGCATAATTCCGTAAGTTTTCTATCAAATTTCAAACTTTTGGTGTCTTTATGATTGGGAAAAGATTCTCTATCTTTTCATAAGAGAAAATAATTTTTTTTTTTTTAAATTTGGCCGACCCTGAGAACGAGTTTCGGAGAGGGCCTGTCGACTCTCAAAGGGTTAAGTATAAAACAAAGTAAATAGTCTTAAGCTAAAAAATAGCACCTGAATTATTTAACAAATGTAAAATAATGAGCTAAGGTAGTTTTTTTTTTTTTTTTTTTAAGCTAAAATAAAGGAGACAATATAAAAGGGACTAATACAAATAAAGTGATGATCAAATAATGGAGCTTGGGAATATGATAGTAGGTAGTACTATAAAGGTAATTCTTTAAAGTTAGAATTATAGTATAAAATTATAATATAAAAGGGACTAATATAAGTTGTGGTGAACAATAAAGTGGTAATCAAATAAATGAGCTTTGGAATATAATGGCAAAATTGTGAACTTATTCTACTTTAGCACCTGAGAATAGCACCTTGATTATTTTAACAATTGTGAATATATAAACTAGGGTAGTTATATAAAGCTAAAATAAAGGAGAAAATATATAAGGGACTAAAATTAAGTAATGGTAAACAAAGTTAAATGGACAGATGGTCACTATGAAATAATATTACAGTTTGTAGCAGTTCTTGTCATTTTATAACCAATCTTTGTTCTGACACTAGTATTAGGCACTGAAATTGTACTCACATTGTCACAAACACACTGACAGGTGGACATTTACACCTGCCTTAGCCATTTACTATTGTCTTGGAATATATACAAAGTATTTATATGTCCCAACAATGTTTTGGATATGTGGAAGTATATAATAACAATGAGGAGGAGGAGGAGGGGGAAGAGGTGGAGAAGGAGAATAATACGTAATAATAATAATAGGTAATAATAAGTTCCCTTGAAGCATGAAAAACAGTCCACCTCTGACAGTGACATAAGATGAGATAACTGATAAGAGCTGACGTTTGATGAGCATACACGAGGGTGGGGGGAGGGTGCAGCTGATAAGAAAAGATTAGAGGTGATATTTGATGAGCATAGCCCTCACTTTGTTTTCGCTGGTACACAAACATGTCTGTCTGTCTATCTGTCTATCCATCTAGCTCTCTGTCTCAGAGAGAGCCACAAGACTATGTCGTCATCACGTTTACTCACATCTTCAAGCAGAGTATAGCACTTTGTCTGGATTTTTGGGGTTATCCTAAGTAATTTACACTATGTATACTTGTATTTATGTGTACCTGTAAGACAGAGATAGACAGACAGATAGAGAGACAACTTGAAAGAGATACAGAGACAGACAAAGACAGAGGTAGACAGAGACAGATAGACAGAGAGAGATAGAGATATACAGAGATAGACCCTAAACTTGGGGTTAACATCACTTTTCTCTTAAAAGAGGAGTGTTATGACATTACATCAGTGAATCCTTGGTGTTTGCCGCACTGTTTGCTCTAGCTGGCTCTCAGTTTAACTGGCGCTCCCACAAGGTACTAAATGGTCCCAGATTTTTTTTTTAATACCATGCACACTGAGTGTTAGGACCCATTCTATGCTGACAACGCATCTCAGGCCAATCGTGCCAAATTTGAAGGCAGGAAAATAAAACTTGTATATACGTTTGGGGCGCTATGCATAAGAACGTATATATACGTTTGGACTGTTTAAGGGTTAATTATAGTTTTACATACACACAACAAATATAGTGTACAATTATGTATTTACAAATTTAAATAAACATATAAAATAACATTTTTACTTACCTTTATTGAAGATTGGTGATGGCATCTGGAAGATAGGGAGGAGGAGAGAGGGAGTTGGGATTAGTTAGTGTTTGGAAGGGGAATCCTCCTCCATAAGTACTTTAGGTATCAAAGGATAGAAGCGATGGTCGACTTGTTTTTCACGTACATCTTGGCAAGCTCAACAAGTTTCACACCACTCTCATACTTCTGTATTATTTCCCTCTTCACATCTATGGTGTTTCTCACTTTCTTTACCACAGGGGTACCACTAGCAAGTTTCTTTGGGCCCATGGTAGCTTATTTCACAGTCCCACAAGCACTAAACACAATGAATTAATCGTAAAATGTTTGAATGAGAGCGCAGGTTAGTGTTCACTCAAGCATCAACAAAGCCAGACTGGCTCACAGCACCTGCGTGGGGACACGGACAGAGCAGGCTGGTGGACAGGTCCGGTAGTCGGTAGGTATATTTCTACACCATAGTAAGGTTAGCACAGGCACCACTGTGACCACGCTGGCTGGAGATTTGTCTGTAAAAACTTGCATTTGTGGTCACAGTGGTGCCTGTGCTAACCTTCCTATGGTGTAGAAATATACCTAGTTGGACGAATCTTATTGTGGCTAGTTGGTCCAGTGGCTAACGCGACGGTCTGGAGTTTTGACTCTCTCTGACCGCGGGTTCTATCCCTGCTGGGGTATGGTAAGTTCAGTGACGTTCACTGAGCTAATATTTTAATGAAAAAATGTTATTTATTCTGATGACGACTTAATCCAGGGGTCTACTGTACATTATTTAGGTACACATACTGGTCAGAGACTCTGTCGTAAGTCCGAGGAGTCGGTAAACGAGTACGTCGCTGAGGAAAGGCTGTAATGAACAATGAAACTCATACACATGTAGAGATCTTTATTACAGTATAAACTAGTTGTGCATAAATAATCCTTTATATTAACTTAACAGTCAAGGAATACAATGTAATATATATTGATATGTCCACATTAAAATTATAAAAAAATAATCATTCAAAATTACAGTACAATCACACCTCATTACCCCTTTAACTGCTTCCTTCCCTACCCTGCAGTGCTGTATAGCCCTTGTGGCTTAGCGCTTCTTTTTGATTATAATAATAATACCTCTTTAACTGTGATCAATGTACTACAAAGCGTGTTACAAGATGTCATAAGTGCTAGTATACACAATTTTCATGCCTTTAAATTCACCACATGCCAATATTTTCTTTTTACCACAGCTTAACTGTTTGTTTCCTACACCCTCTTCATACCTTTGAAAAATATCTAAGACTAGGTAGGTCCACGTAGTGCATTGTGGGATAACACTGACTAGCGTAAGTATAAAACAAAAAAAATGGAACAAGTAGGGTTTCAACCCATCGCGAGGGAGCTGTAAAACTCCAGGATTGTCAACATTTGGAAGTGGAGCTGAATACTATATTAGCTGTCTGTGGCCCTTATAACCCCAACAAGACAACGTCTCCCTGCTTGAGCCTCCATAGTGTTATGAATATGGCTGAAGGAGCAGAGGGCAGGGAAGAGCCATGAAAATAACAGCGAATCTGATGACACTGATGAGGTAGATATGATGCCAGACTCTGCCAACAGACAGGTCGGGGAGAAATACTATGACCTCATTAACAGTGTTGAGGTACAGGCAGACGGAGTCTGCACACCTTCATGCTTCAGGCCATGGTTTCTACGGCCATATGGTACTACAAAATCATGTAGCATAAGTTAACAATGAAACCAGGACCTGTTGTTCCACTACCAGCATCCCACCAGCAAACAGTGAAATTCAACCAAAACAAATCACACTAAGTAGATTTAACATAGGATAATTCAATATACTGTACCATACTTTCTGGAATATAAGATCCACCTCAATTTTGGAAGGCATATTCTGGGAAAGATAAAATATGCGTATGTACTTGCTTCAAAATGACAAGAGCCAATGGGGGTGCCTCCTTATGTGCAGTGTAGCTGAAATCTTGCACAGCCTGTCATCTGCTCCACTGCCATCAACTATCCAAACATGGTTAGCTGTTGTTGACAGATGGCTACTTTACAATTATTTACAACTGCTGAAGCTGGTTTGCTTATTATGTACTGTAACTTGGGTGATTCTGAAGAGAAGTTGCAGAGATTGGTGGATGAATTTGGTAGGGTGTGCAAAAGAAGAAAATTAAAAGTGAATACAGGAAAGAGTAAGGTTATGAGGATAAAAAGATTAGGTGATGAAAGATTGGATATCAGATTGGAGGGAGAGAGTATGGAGGAGGTGAATGTATTCAGATATTTGGGAGTGGACATGTCAGCAGATGGGTCTATGAAAGATGAGGTGAATCATAGAATTGATGAGGGGAAAAGGGTGAGTGGTGCACTTAGGAGTCTGTGGAGACAAAGAACTTTGTCCTTGGAGGCAAAGAGGGGAATGTATGAGAGTATAGTTTTACCAACGCTCTTATATGGGTGTGAAGCATGGGTGATGAATGTTGCAGAAAGGAGAAGGCTGGAGGCAGTGGAGATGTCATGTCTGAGGGCAATGTGTGGTGTGAATATAATGCAGAGAATTCGTAGTTTGGAAGTTAGGAGGAGGTGCGGGATTACCAAAACTGTTGTCCAGAGGGCTGAGGAAGGGTTGTTGAGGTGGTTCGGACATGTAGAGAGAATGGAGCGAAACAGAGTGACTTCAAGAGTGTATCAGTCTGTAGTGGAAGGAAGGCGGGGTAGGGGTCGGCCTAGGAAAGGTTGGAGGGAGGGGGTAAAGGAGGTTTTGTGTGCGAGGGGCTTGGACTTCCAGCAGGCATGCGTGAGCGTGTTTGATAGGAGTGAATGGAGACAAATGGTTTTTAATACTTGACGTGCTGTTGGAGTGTGAGCAAAGTAACATTTATGAAGGGGTTCAGGGAAACCGGCAGGCCGGACTTGAGTCCTGGAGATGGGAAGTACAGTGCCTGCACTCTGAAGGAGGGGTGTTAATGTTGCAGTTTAAAAACTGTAGTGTAAAGCACCCTTCTGGCAAGACAGTGGTGGAGTGAATGATGGTGAAAGTTTTTCTTTTTCGGGCCACCCTGCCTTGGTGGAAATTGGCCAGTGTGATAATAAAAAAAAATAAATAACTTTAATTTATAAGTTACTAATCACTCTAGAGTAATTTGGAAAATAGTTTTGTAGGGAAGAGGTGTTTGGAATTCAGTTTACTGGTACCACAGCATTGAAACCATTGCTTGCTACTAACCCAAAGCCTTCCCTTGTTCCTGACCTTGAGCATATATGGCACAAGGCAATTTTCTCAGACTTTTTTGGGAGAAGAAACATGTCTGATATACACCCAAATGAACTATTATTTTGTCAGTGTTAAGAGATACAGTGATATGGTGAAAGGAAACTCCATACAAGTGTTCAAAAATAGATAAAAACTATGTCAGTTAACTGAACATTAAGATATGGGACCAGTATGTAGAGCTCAGCCCCCTTGTAGCATCCTTAATGCACACATGCATAACACAAACAAATGGAAAGAGGAAAGTGAAGATTACCTATGTATCAATTAGGTTGAAAACAATTGCAAACAGGCAGGCCACATGGGGATGGAAATCTTTAGCTCAAGATTTTTTTGCACTCTGTGCATCATTAGGAGTTATGCAATGTTGCAAGGCTAGCAACAAATAGGAAAAAGTTCTCTCTGAGGCAAGGCAGAAGTGTAATGCATCAGGCCATGTCCTGATGCTGTATATTTCCGCCCTTGCCTCAGAATGTTTTCCCCCGCTATCTGTTACTAGCCTTGCAACGTGCATAGCTCCTAATGATGCACAGAGTGCAAAAGATTTTGAGCTAAAGATTTGCATCCCCATGTGGCTTCCTCTCCATCATTTAGGTTGAATACAGAGCATTTTGTAATGGGGTGTACCTGTGACTGATTTTGAAGGTTCTTCTACCCTTGCAACCCAGAATAAGATCAACCTCCTTCACTAATTGTTTGGTCAACCAGGATATTGCTACCACTGGCCTGCAGACATATGCAGCCATTACAACCTGGTTGATCTGCCACTTGTTGTAGGAATACTTCAAAAAATACTCCTTAATAAATAATATTAAATCATAAAAAAACAGTAGGATTGTCATATATATTAAAAAAGTTAAAGCTAATATTAAATTTTTTTTTTACATGGTATGTGCATGAGATTTGGGAGCAAGGGGCTAGTAACCCCTTCTCCTGTATAAATTACTAAATGTAGAAAGAAGAAAAAAAAGTATGAAAACATCTCTTCTTTTTCAGGTCAACCTGCCTTGGTGGCCGATGGTTGGTGTGTTAAAAAAAAAAAAATGAGATTTACACAACTTATCCTGACCCATATGAGACTCCAGGACTTATAATTTCTTCATTAGTTCCTACATATTACGTTCATGAGGTTCTTTGTACTTATAATTGATGTATTCAAAAATATCTCTTTCACAAGAAACTGGTAATGCCTCGCCAGGAACACCTGTAACAAGCATTAATATTAAAATGTTAAAATTTTTAAAAACATCTTAAAATAAATTTATTGGCCAATCTAAATTATATATAATTATCAAATAACATATGTTTTAAAGCAATTATAGTATCTACTTTTACCCTCAGAGTATACTGCATCAATAACAAAAATGGCCATTGAATTCCCTTTAATTATATTACGTATTTTGAATCTTATATTTTTAACAAAGCCATTTTCCACTAGACAAGGGAACTCAAAAACACATTCAACATCACTTATTCCCTAGTAATCGTTCTAGACGAGCAAGACTGTCATAATTCAAATGATTCACCAAACTGCAACATACCTATTCATCCACAATAATAATAATATTCAGTGAAGATACTGTACTTCCCACCTCCAGGACTCAAGTTTGGCTAACCAGTTTCCCTGAATTCCTTCACAAAATGTCACCTTGCTAATACTCCAACAGCATGTCAAGTCCCAAAAAACTATTTGCCTCCAATTACTCCTATCTAACACGCTCACAAACAAAACCTTCTTTACCCCCTCCCTCCAATCTTTTCCAGGGCAACCCTTATCCCATGCTTCCCTCCACTACAGATTTATACACCCTCCAAGTCATCCTATTTTTCTCCATCTTATCTAAATGTTCAAACCACCTTAACAATCCTTCCTCAACCCCTCTGGATAATACTTATAGTAACCCTGCTCCTCCTAATTTCCAATCTATGAATTCTCTGCATGATATTTACACCACAGTGCCCTCCGACACGACATCCCCAGTGCCTTTTTATACTCGGCATAATATTCACACCACACCCTGATAAATCCTGACAATATGCCTACTGCAACCCTTTCAGGATTGGTGCTGTACTTGTATGGCTTGAGAGCCAGGTTCGGTGCCGTACATGTACACGTAAATTCTAGCGCCTTCAAATCTAGCGACAGAAAGCTGGTAGGCCTACATATGGAAGAATGGGTCTGCATGGTCAGTGTGCACAGTATAAAAAAAAATCCTGCAGCACACAGTGCATAATGAGGAAAAAAAAACAAACTCTGACTGTGTTTTTGGTTTCAAACAGCTACTTGCAGTGTATTTTTGTATGGTAGTCATGCTTGTATTCTCGTTTTCTTGGTCTCATTTGATAGAATGGAAGATATGCTACGAAAATAGAGATGATTTTGATTGGTTTCACAATGAAAAGTACCTCGAAGTTGAGCTCAAAGTGGTGGAAATGTTCGATTTTTGACGATGTTCAGGAGTAAACAAATCACGCCACGCGTCCAATACACATCAACTTGTGAGTCTAATATTCTTTCGCAAGTGTGCTGATATTATTTATACCATTTTTACAATCGTGCAGTAGTCTGCATAACGGTAAATATTCTGTTTTTTGTGAGAAAAAAATTCGAAATGGAAAGCAAGAGTAATATAAGAGGGGCCTGGAGACATTACTAATTAACAGAGAAAATGTTGTTTTAGTGTCAGGAATGTCTGTCTTGTTTATTCTGGACCCTATTTTGAAATTGGTATCATTTGAAGTTTGTGTGAAACTGGCCAAATTGCCAATTTCTGACTACTTTACTGGGTAACTGAAATCAGTAAATGGGCAGTTTCTTGTACTCGATTAATAGACCAAATGGAGTTCTAGTGAAACAGCTATGATTTTAGTCGACTGGAACACTGGAATTGGCCGAAAGTAGGGCTCAAAGTGGGTGAAATCGCCAATGCATATACAGTGAACCCCTGCCATTCGGCGGCCACGGCTTTCATGAAATCTGACTTTTGGCAAGTTTTTTCGGCAAAATTTAGCTTCGCGGTTCGTGATTGGACTTGTGATTCGGCGACCGTCCGGTACACGTCCGCCTATCAGCATGCACACAAAGCCAGTCTCCCACACCATTCACACTCACTGTGCCATTGTTTACCAGCGCGTGACCATCACCCCACGGGCTCATGCAATACATTTCATAATAATCCATTTTTTTTGTGCTTGCAGCTGCTAAATAAGTCACCATGGGCCCAAGGAAAGCTAGTGCCAGCCCTTTGGTAAAGAAAGTGAGGAACATGATCGAATTCAAGAAAGAAATCATTGAAAAATATGAGAGTGGAGTGCATGTTACAGAGCTTGCCAGGATGTATGGCAAACCCCATTCAACCATCACTTCGATCGTGGCAAAGAGAAAGGAAATAAAGTGTGTTGTTGCAAAAGGGGTAGATATGCTGACAAAAAAGAGATCGCAAACCCTCGAAGTGGAAAGGTTATTGCTGGTGTGGATTACCCAAAAACAGTTAGCAGGAGATAGTATTATGCAGTCGATAATATGTGACAAGGCATGGCAGTTGCATGACGATCTCGTAAAGAAAATGCCTGCAACGAGTGGTGATGGTTATGATTTTAAGGCCAGCAAAGGTTGGTTTGAGAGATTTAAGAGTAGTGGGATACACAGTGTGGTAAGGCATGGTGAGGCTGCTAGTTCTGACATGTAAGTGGCTGAGTTTGTACAGGAGTTTAAAGGGTACATAGACACTGAAGAATTCCAACCCCGACAAGTACACCTACCATCCGACTTATGATCTGCTCGACATACGACGACTCGACTTACGACCGTGTTTTTTATGCCAAATTTCTGGGAAATAAACAAGTGTTTGTGTTGTACACAATGTTTATTCTAAACATTAGAGTATAAAATACAGTACTAACAGTATAAAAAGTAAAGTAAATATGAAATACCAAAATAAAGCAATAAAATAAAGTCATTACAAAAATGTTATAACATAGAACATAAGAAAGGAGGAACACTGCAGGAGGCCTGCAGTAAAGTTCGACTTGCATCCATTTCGACTTGCAACTGGTTTCTCGGAACCGAACTCGGTCGTAAGTTGGATGGTAGGTGTATTCAATTGTGACGAAACGGGCCTCTTTTGGAAGATTATTATTATTATTATAATTAAAAAGAATTTCTAAACTACAAGGGCTATACAGCGCTGCAGGGCAGGAAGGAAGCGAGGGTATCGGGTGGCAAAAGGGAGAGGAATGATTAGTAGGTTACAGAGAACATCGGGGCAGTTGATAGTGCAGGGGTAGAGGGTAGCAAGAGATTGAGGTAGAAAAGGCTGAGGGGAGTGCTAAAGGTATCATCATCAGAGTTTGTGGAGTAAATTAGTTGTTGTCAAAAAGTCAATGAGAGTGTCTGGATTAAAGGAGGGTCCATCAGCAAGAAGGGAAGGTAAAGAGAGCAGTAGAGCAGAGACGATTTTGGAGGTAAATTCTGCGTGCTCGTTGATAGAGTGGGCAGTCTAACAGAATGTGACTAACCGATACTGGAACTTGACAATTATCACAGAGGAACAGGGCACCTCTCCACGAGACCCGTGAGGAAGACGAGTGTGGCCAATGCGACGACGGGAGAGAGTAGTCTCCCAACCTCGACACTGATGACAAGAAGACGGCCAGCAACCTATACTCCGTTTAATAGAATGAAGTTTGTTACTGAGCAGATCAGACCAACATTATTGCCAACGGGTGTGAAGGTGGGTAGCAATTACAGCAAAATAGTTTGTGAATGGAACACCTAATGAAACTGGAAGGTCATGTACTGCTGACCGCGTGGCAGTGTCTGCCTGTTCATTTCCCTATATGTCAGCATTACCAGGGACCCAACAAAAAACAATGTCTTTATGCTTGGTAGAGATACGGTGTAACCAAAATTGGGCTCTGGTGGCCTGGTGGCTAACGCTCTCACTTCACACGGCGAGGGCCTGGGTTCTATTCCCAGCCAGAGTAGAAACATTGGACGTGTTTCTTTCCACCTGTTGTCTATGTTCCCCATCAGTAAAATGGGTACCTGGGTGTTAGTCGACTGGTGTGGGTCGCATCTCGGGACACTGACCTAATTTGCCCGAAATGCAGAGCATAACAAAGGAGTTTCTATATAGTAGTATGTCATTGTTGTCAGCTAGGACTGTATACCTTGTACATGTACTTGTAGTAAATAAAGATATTATTATTATTATAAAGTTGGATGCGGAGAACTAGAGGGTGAGGTGTATCAAATTTTCGTACAGCCTGTAAAGCACTAAGGAAGTCTGAAACAACCACAAATGATGACACAGGCATAGATGCAATATGGATAAGTGCTGCAAGAATGGCATACAATTCAGCAGTAAAAATGCTAGCCGAGGATAGTAAATGTCCTTGCACGACAGTGTCCTGAAACACCGCTGTGAATCCGACACCATCAGAAGATTTAAAACCATCTGTGTACACTGCGATGGCATGAGAATGAGAGCAGAAGTGGTCATGAAAAAGAGAGCGGGAAGCTACTGTAGGCAGTTGGGCTTTTACGCAAGGGAGTGAAAAAGAACAGCCATGAACAGTTGGAGGTAGGGAAAAGTGAGATGCTACATGAATATATAAACGTGGTAACTGAAGGGAAGACGAGCGAAAGTAGGTGAAGAGAAAAGGGACGGAGCAAACAGGGGCGACGAACAAATAATGTCTCCTAACATCAGTGACTGTTTTATATATGGAAGGACTGTGGAGATCATGAGAGCAAACACAGTAGCAAAGGCAATGGACATCACGGCGATCTGACAAGGATGGAATATTCGCTTCTACATAGAGACTCTCAACAGGTGAAGAGCGAAAAGCACCAAGGCATAAACATAATCCCAGGTGATGGATGGGTAATATTAAGGTTAGAGAGAGTAGCAGGAGAGGCCGCTGAATAGATCTGGTCACCATAATCGAGTTTGGATAATATGAGGGCTGAGTGTTGGCGAAGGAGAGTCGATGATCAGTTCCCCATGAAAGATGAGCAAGGGTTTTAAGAAGGTTCAGCCGGCTGTGACAAGCTGCCTTCGGAGAGGTAATGTGAGATTTCCAGGATAACCTATGGTCAAACAGAAGGCCTAGAAACCTGACCGTATCATGTTCAGGGATACGTGAGCCATAGAGGTACAATGGATGATCAGAGATGACAGAACGTCAAGTGAAAGTAAT